TACCTCGAAGTTTGATGCAAAAACGCATGATCGCACCGGCTCGCCTGGTGCGTTCCAGCCTGGGTCGATATTTTAATTCTTACAGTCACGATTGTCTTATCCAGGAAATGAACTGTCTGCTACTGGCTGGTATCCTTATGGTACCACTACTGATATTGGGTATGTTTGGCAATTTACATCTGGTTTGTGCCACACTGAGATACAAACAGCTGCAACATCGCAACGGTATTTTGGTTGCAGTTATTGCTTCTCTGGATTTAGTAAGTTTCTTTGGTTCAATTATTTGTGTGAGTGTATGTGCGCGTGTGTGTGTGTGTGTATGTAGTTGCGTCTGTTTCTAAGCGTATGTTTGCGCGTGTGTATGTGCATAAACGTGCGTATATGCGTTTTTTATTGGTAGGTATGTGTGTGTGTTTTTGTGTGTGTGTGCTTGACTGTGCTTATAGAAATTAACACGACTATGTTTCTTAAATGCTCTCGAGAAATCAAACATTTCCACTTACGGAAAATTCCAAGATTCAAAACTCGCCCCATACATGAACATCAACAACCTGATTCCAGGATTATGAAATTCCCTCTTTCTAGAGCAAGCAACTTCATGGCGGGCTTGACTCTCCGGCACGCGAGAGTACCAGATTACTATCAGTGAACGAATCATGGAGGGGCTGGTTTTCCAACCGGCAGAGTTGAACCTCCGACCTTCAAACCATGAGGAGTACTAAATTAGCAGTGGACTTCTCAAGGCATCATCCGTACGTCAAAAACTTCCGTGTGAATGTAGTAATTATACAAAATCAATACAAACAACGCGTATATGAGTGAGATATGATACTCTTTACTGGTACCAAAAATGTCATTGTATGAGTCGTCAGTGTGAATATCACTTACCGTGCGCAGCTACAATAGGTCCCGAGATCCTGAACGTCTTCAAATAGTACTTGCTGATCATTCGATGTGCGTGCGTCATCTCTTAGGATGAATCGAGTGGTCGCACTTTCCAATGGATACCACTCACTGATGCACCTCATCACCGGTTGCCAGTAGGACAAGCAATACTTGCCCATCGGATTTTACTTTCTCGCGTGTTCACTGTGATATCCTGCGCCTCTCATCTGACGGAGAGCTTTTTGCACTGCCGCAAAGTCAAACAACTTCCGCTCCTCGTTGTTTCCGCCACAGCCAGCGCGCTCTTCAGCTTTCGTGAGCAACCATGCGTCGTATTCATACGCCACTGCTTTCAACACAGCTATGTTGAAGAAGTAGACACGGTTCTTCCGGTTCGGCACACTGTAGAATTTGATAATGTTGTTGTGGTGTGAAAATATATCTTCTTGGCAACTGAAGTATATACTACTCTGGTGCTTCGTACGGAACAGTTCATTGTAGATAAGTGAAATACATGAGGCGAAAAACGCTATTGAAATATTAACCGGTAACTCGTTGATGTCACGCAGTTTTTGTTTTCACACAATATTCCTCTACGGTTTTTCGTTTTGCATGTCGGACATGACGATTCTTTTTCTTACAATCGACCGGCTCATCGCTGTTTGTTCACCTATCAAGTAAGTTTCAATTGATAATTAATAGGCAATTAATAGTGAAAATGGATAATAAGTAATCATAACAAATAAGAAGAAATTGGTAAAAAATACACTAACTCTAAGAGCAGTGGTTACAGGGAACACTCTAGGAATCGGTATGAGGTTCTGATGCTAGTGATTTTACTGAGGTATAGGAAGCAGTCAAAACAAATTCTTCGATCCTTAACTACGGATTTCGCCTTCTCCACAATTCCTCTATTTATATGAACTAATGTGCTAAGAAGTGGTAATCGTATGTAGTTACATTTTTAATCTAATCACCTCTTTACAATGCCAGATATCGAACGATCAGGAGTAAACACTATATTCTCACAGCTGTTGTTGTTAGCTTCATTTATTCATTGCCGTTTGTCGTCCTGGGTTTCGCCAATACAAACGATGAGGTCTGTGTAATACATCGAAATTTTACGATTTCAACCGAAAATGAAGGCTACAGAGTGATGGAAATTTGATCCAACATTATAAGAAAAGAGAGATGGCAATTTAGGAGGAATGCTGTGTTTTGCCAGAGCCGGTGGTGCAGGCTGTCCAGACAATCAGCGTAGAAGAATGACCCATTGGATATACGCTTTGAGGAGAAAAATAATAAAATAGACAATCGGTCTAAGTACCGTGTACAAGAAACATTTGGTTGCAGTTCATGTTTCATCTCTTAACTGCAAACACAGATCAAAAAAAGCATACAAGCAGGAGTGGGAATCGTTAGTACAGCCTCCTTTTTCGCCATGGTATGACGAGCATGTGTCAAATCACACAAGACTAGATAAGGTAAGCAAGAAGAAGGGAAAGGGATGTGAAGGTAGAAGAGAGGAGGGAGGAGAAGTTATTTTTAAGTGAGTTGTTATACCAATCGGCTTCGACTTTGGCCTTTAAGGGGAATATGTTTGCCAAGAATTTTCTTGTTCCTAAAGCAAAATTTGGAAATCGAGCTTTTTATACTGGCGTTTTCGGACTTTCAACTTTTATGTATAGTGTATAGTGGCCCAGTTTTTTTTTTTAATGTATAGTGGCCCAGTTTAGAGTAGCATGTAAATCTATTCATTTTCTCCGAATGGCCAATTGGTAGAACATCGACGCTAAAAAGGGGGAGGGAGTACGGGAGGAGGAGGGTGGTGGTAGAGGAGGGAAAACAGAAAAAATAATCCTTCACTGCAGTAGAATGCAAAGCTATCGGCATAATTGGAACGTTCCCACAAGTCGGCAAAATTTCCCAGCAAAAACTAATATCTTTATTATCATTAACAGTATTTTTGCAGTCTCCAACATTAATACTAGCAAACTGTAGTTTGTGTTACAGCTGGTCGAGCCGTGCAACCCACCGATGGGTTACGAACCACGGTTAATGATTGTTTGGATTTATAGTTATATTACTATCGCTGTGGCCGTCGTGATTCTCAACACTATCAGCTATTTTTTGATATATCGTAGCGGTAAAAAAAAGGAATTGGGTGAGTTTTCTTGTGGTTTCAGATGAGCTTCAAAAATTCTCTACCGCTTTTTAGGCAAGACGTATATTCATTTGCATTTTTCCAATAAATTCGTTCATTCGTTTCGGAATTAGTAGCAGCATGTGCCAGAGTATCAAATCCGCCATCAAGCCTTGAAACATGGAGATCCATCGACAGTCTAGCCAACATATTGTTGTTGGTATCACTTGCTATCGCTCGGGCTAGTTTCCATTCGCCTCTGTCTGTTGCGGAGAGCTAAACGAGGGAGGAGTTTTTGAGCTTTGACTTAAGCCCAAGTAATAATAATTGGCTAGCAGGTATGTCGCAGTGGGATAGAAATATCGTCGTAAAATAAATAGTGGGCCTGATTCTGCTCGTGGGACAACTCTGTGTAAATTGGTACTGGTATATGCCAGGAAGCGAAACGCACCATCAGCCTGCTAGTAAGCAGCTTTCAGAAGGGACCATCAACAGCCTGGCCAGCTGATGGTTGTTTGGGCATTTGAGGCCATTCCGGCTACATCTCGAGAACGAAATATGGCGAGATTTTTGAATGACCGCTCGAAAAGTCGTCAATTTTTAACAAAAAGATTCACTTTTATGTTACCGTGAAGTTACGAGGAGTGAGCAAAGCATTAGGCCAGCAGTGCAGTATTTTAGCGCGCTGCGTGTGGACGTAAAGACGAGTTGTTCGATTTCCTCTCGGCACACACTTTACTTGAAAGTGTTCCAGTGGCAAGATCAGTGGCACAATTTATGTGTAGAAACGCGATGAAGTAAGTCTGTAGAAAACTGCTCATGGGCCTTAGCTACCAAGCAGATTGCAGCATCCAGGTTGACTCTGGAAGTGCAGATGGCAGGGTGTGAAGGGGTTCAGGAGAAAATAGTAATAGAAAAAGTGTGGTTATTGAACCTGGATACCGCGTATGTCAGTAGATCGAATTACCCCTGGAAGGTGTCGGGCCAGACCAAAGTAGGAGAAGTTTTATTACACGTACAGGATATCAGTTACAGGTGCACGAGTGTAGAATTAAGTCGATCACAAGGAGAACGAAGTAGATCACCGGTGAGACGAAGTAGATCGCGGGAG